TTAAACCCACTAGAAAGAAGGACATCCCAATCAGTCTTAACATAAGAAAAAGTGACGCGTCCTTTTATTCATTTAAACGAAAGCAATGTATAAAACACCTAGGTGTCATGATCGAAGATTCACTTTAAGCTGGAAATATCACATCTCATTTGTCTGTTCCCGTATATCTCGAAACACTGAAATAATAGCGTAATTAAGGTATTACTTCTCAGTTAAACAACTAAGACAAATATATTATAATTAATCTACCCTTATATTTCTTATGGCATAATAGCTTGGGGAAGTGCATACAAAAAACATATAAGTATAATTCAAGTAACACAAAACCATATTGTAAGATCAATATTTTTTGCCACAGCATTTTTTAGTGAAACAGAGAAAGCCAAACCTTTGCTAAATCTTCTAGGTCTTTCAACAGGAAATAATATTTATCGTCTACAAGTCTCGAAATTCGTGCATTCATGGCATAAAGGCTGTCTGCCTGAGGTATTGGACAACATATTTCAATATGCTAGTAATATCCATTGCTAAAACTCGATGTATACAGCTAAGAAAAATCCTTATAAGCTAAGGCGTACGAACAAACCTTAGGCAAACAATCAATCTCCTTTATGGCTACGGACATTTGGCAGGACCTCCCAACTTATTTTAAAAACTGAAGTGTGTCTGCTTTCCGAAGAAAATTATACGCTTTCTACTGTCAAAACAACAAATGAAATAATTTTTCGTCTTAACTTGTTGATGAACCAACATAGTTCATGTAAATATAAGTTCTTCCTACTTTGTTTATTTTTCCTTTTTTTCTTGTTGTATTTCCTTTGGTTCAACCTGCTGTCGGGAAAGAAATAAATGATGCTTAACTTGATTATTTTGTGATTAAATATTAATTAGAAATAGACATTTGAAGCGCAAAGAAGTTAGTTTTCGTTACATTAGATTTCACAATAATGTAGAAAAAGTGCGAGTATATTTACGATATAAAATGATGTAACTGTATGCATTTTCCTAGGCTTAATAGGGTGAAAGAACGTGCGATTTTGTAATAGTCCCTTAATTTAGTGGTATTTATGCCAAATATCACGTACAAATCATGCTATTATTTATTTATACTACTACCCACAAAAGGTTTGAAATTTTCACATGTAGGTATTTCAAATTAAGCTGAAATACCACTGCTCTGAGCCAATCAAATTTCAGAAATTTCTCATGTAGTAGTATATGTAAAGATACTGCCGTACGCAAGGATAGTAGAAAAATTTCTGTATTACTTAGAATGCGTTAGTTGTTAGTTGATCGTTGATCGTTGGTCGTTGTGTTACGACCGTTGAATATGTAAGAATTGTACATCGCAGTAGATTGTTGGATTGGATTAAATCGTGTTGTTACATCGAAAGATACAGTCCTCTTGATTTGTTTGAACCAGTGAGCGGGGTTATAAGAATTCCGCAACACCTGCTACCTAGAACCTAAATTGTTTAGGGAGCTAACAAGAAAACCAACTGGTTCATTTAGCTTCCTAGTTCAGTGCACATTATTCTCGTAACATTTAACCATGTACATCGACAAAAGCATAATAAAGATTATTGATCATTGATTCAAGGATTTAACCTTCGAGCACTACTGGAAGCAAGTTCAACTACGCGTCTGACTTTACCTATGTGTCCGGACGTGTTTATCTCGGTCTACTTGCACCACTATAGAAATCCCATATCGAGCTTTTCCGGATCGGGTCGGAGGTTTACTGGAAAGGGATGATCGAGCATCGAGGATCGAGGATCGAGGATCGAGGATCGAGGATCGAGGATCGAGCATCGAGCATCGAGCATCGAGGATAGAGGATCAAATATCAAAGATAGAGGTTGGAGGATGGAGGGTCGGGGATCGAGAATCGGGGATCGGGGATCGAGGATTGGTTTAAAAAACTTGAAAATAAAATAAATAAATAGAAATCGTGGATCGTGGTGATGTGGGCCTCAAACAGTAGATAAATTTCACAAAAATTAACCCACTACTACTACATACCGGGCTACATAGACGCTATACATATTTATATTCGGATAAAAAACATCGTTCAATCTTTTGAGTGTAAATCCCTGAAAGAGTTCTCCTCACTGTAGGAGCAATATCAATATACAGAAGGTTTTCAAAGGCTTCACACCGGTGTGAAGCTAAGATGTGCAGCTTGTCTCTCCTTGCAAATTTTAAGTTTTAAGTATTTACATGATGACATATAACACTCGTTTTTTATTCCAAACGAAAAAGTAGCATGACAGCACCACCTGACAAGAAAATTTATCTCCAAGTAACCGAGACTCAACGCTACTAAGAGGGTTCTTGTTTCAATTTATTACCCGTGTACATGTTGAAAGACTATTAAGATGTCGCTTACGTTACTCAAAATTCCTGTTTATTTTAGACTATTTACAGATAAGGGTTGAAAGGCTAAACGACTTCTGTGAGGGTTGTTCTTGCTCTCTAGCATGGCGGTTTTGTACCACGTGAATTACAAGCTGCAAAGACCTCGTTGCAGTTGTAGTTTCTTGTTACATTATATTGATCAGTTTCTTCCATCGAAGTTCCGGAGTTTTGTTTACTTTTGGCTTTGATCATCAATGAAAACAGCTTGTCAACTAAGGGATCCTCTTGCAAGCAAGACCAAGCCAGAGGCGCGGTAACTCCGGCCCAGTCCACATGGACTGCATGGTGCCCGCACTTTTCCGACTAGTTCTTTGGGACCCCAGTACTTTGAAGCCGTTGTCAGTACGTAACTAAGGACCTTAAGATCCGAGGACGGCGACGGCAGAGAAAACGTCGCTGAAAAAGTGAATTCGCGTTCTTTCAATCTTCATCGTGCTTACTCCAAGTCACTAACTTTGTCAAATGCAGGCGAACCCTCCTAAAGTTGAATTCCTAAGAATCATTTCCAAGTTCAGAAGGAGAGAGTAAATTTCTTCGTCGCTTGTGTACTTCCTCTGTACATCGTGAAATTAGGCATTTTCACGACGTAGTCGTGCAGTGACGGCAAAGAAATGTGCAAAAAAAGGTAATGCACGTGCAAAATTGTTGTTTTGCCATTTAAACCTATTGCTTTTGTGGCGTTCCAATTGCCGTAGCCGTCGTCGAATCTTAAGGTCCCTAGTCGAGAATCCGGCGCCAGATCAAAACTTCGATTTTATTTTTAAGTCACCAAAAACCCTCTAGTAAACGTTTTTCAAAAACAATATGCTAAAGTTCCAGCGAAGCTCCGTGACTGCGAAAAATGGGAAAGTTTAAAATCGGCCTTAACATGGCCGAAGGCCCGATGGAAATTATACAAATTAGAAAAAAACGAAAGCTGGTCTATACGTCATCTTTACAAGGCTTGTTACACATTTCTCAAATTTGCTTTCAAGCTATATTTCATCTTGATCTAGGCTTTCTTCCTATTTTTTACACTCGTGCAAAGAAATTAATGTTTCGTCATTTTTGACACCGTGAAGTTTACCATATATTAGAAGGCTATAAAACCAAGGGTATATATATTAAGAGGTTCTGAAAGTTATCTTTTGAAAGAACTGTTCACCCTGTTTGTCATAGAAAACGCTTTTTTCTGGCCGCCAAAAGCGTGCGCGCTACTAGAAAATACATGAGGGATTTCTCCATTCTACCTCCTTTTGCTCGCTGTTCTCTTATTGGGTTGATTTACGCCTGCAAACGATGTCGAATTTCGACTTAATTTTGTCCTCTTTCGTGAGTGAAAGACGTAAATGGACCATAAAAAGAATTCTCTACATAAAAGAAAAAACACAAACAAGAACTGAATAAGTAGCCTGCGTAGCAAGCGTTTCCAATCGAGTTATTGCGCGAAAGTTGAAGCGAAAGCGAAAAAAAAAAGGTGGAAGAGGGAGGGGGAGGGGAGAAGAGGAAGAGGGTTCCTTCTTTCCCCTCCCCCTCCCCCGTCAATCCTTTTTTTTTTTTTGCTCTCGTCCCGACGTTCTCGACGAACTCGCGCGGAAACGCTTGCTACGCAGGCTATGAACAAGGGATACAAAGTGTTTATTTCCGTCACATGCCGCTTTTTTTAACCCTTTAGAAATTAGCACTAAAATGTTTTCTTGTTTGCATTTTAAAATTTCGACCCAGAATCTGCTTTAATTTTTCCACTACACTCTACTTTCGGCTTTGATCGGGAATGAAGCTGGCTTAACATCTAGGGCAGCCTCTTGCAGACAAGACCACAGGGTAAACCAGGATGCCAACAAATGAGATCATTCCAGTCGCCAGATGCCAAATAAGAAATCCCTGCGTGACCAGTCCACATGTTGCCACAAGGCTCCGCACCATTTCCATTTGGTTCTGGTGGGGCCCATTTGGTGAAGGTAGGAACTGAATGATCGTACCACACGAACGCGTTCAGGCGAGAGTCCCACTCGAGTCCGATCCAAATCTGCTTCAGCGATGGGGCGAGCTTGTTTACCAGGTTTAGTACAAACTCGTTTTCTTTCTGGCTGTTGATTTTCACCAGATTTCCTCCCAGTTCTTTGCAGTATGTCTGGGCATGTTGCCATGTCTGGATAGAGTTACTGACAAGATAGCAGTATCCATTAAATCGCACCCAGCCCTGTGGACAAGGAACACCTGAAAGAAAAGCAGGACGTTTTTCACTGCAAGTTAAAACCTAATTGGTAGTTAATTTCGTTGTTACATTCGTGGCAGTTTTTCGCGGGGTCTTATCTCTCCAGTTTTCGCGATTTCAGTAATTAATGGCATATGAAAAAAGACATTAAATTTCGCGATTCAAGTATTCTCAACTTAATTTTGTTTTTCAACATTTCTGACATTCTAAATTTGTAGATAAACTGTATCGTCATTCGGCCGGATACTAGCTAGATTTTCTTCTCCATATGCGAATATTAATAAAGTAACACCCTCTTTTACAGAAGATACAAAACGGAACTTACTATAAGTCAGTTGATTATTCGTGTATTTTTCAAACATAATTATATTGTACTGTGTATATGCTGTTATAATTATAATTATGTTTTATCATCTTTTCTGTGATTTCAATATTCTATGGACAATTTGGTCATTGAATTTCGCGTATTTAAATTTGACGAGGATTTTCTAAGGCGAAAAAACGCCAGATTATAAATTTTTAAAGTGATCGGCGAAAATAAGTACCAGTACTGTTGTTTGATAGAAGAGACTGGAAGAAAAATTGACCAGAATCTCACTCTCAGTTCGTGAAAGCTATCTCTAACTTCGGGGAGAAAAATAGAGAGTTATTTACTTTACTCACCAAGTATTCGCTCGATATCTTGCAGTTTTGCAAGTAATGTGTCATTACCAACACTTCGTTTAATTACCCTGCCTTTAACTGCAAGAAAAATTGCACTCACATCAATCAACAATATCTTAGTAAGATCTTCAATTTGTGAAAGAGTACTAAAGACTGGAAATTGCAGCATTTTCCCGCAAAAATGCTAAATAAATAGAATCTTATTTTTAGCCGATACAGTTTTTAAGAGGCCCTGCGCCTAAGAAACGACCGATGATTTCCGGCTAAAAAATAAAATCGGCCGATTTTTGTCTCCCAAGCAGAGGTTACCGAATACTATTCAAAAGTGAATTTCTTTTGTTTCAGTTTCGCTTTAAACCAAAAATATCGAGCCGCAAACTTTTTCCGTCTGATAGCAGCAAAATCAGGCCTAAAATAAGCCCTTGCAAAAAACGGTTCAGAAATCACTATCGCAACGCAAAATAACGAGAAAACCACACAGTGATGAAGAAAAAGGCCTTTCAATGCAATATCATTCGATAAACATCCAAAAATTGCCGAAGGGAATAAAAAATAAATTTTCAAATATTGCATATTAAATTAGATGGAGCGATAGAGGCTGATTTTAAAATAATTATCTCTCAAAAGTCCAACGCTGTTGAAAGTAATCACAGTGATGAATCAGACATTGGAGGGATATACATTACGATTCTGGAAAAACGTTTTTCGGCCAAAGTATATTAACGTTGTACAAAGCATTCAAAGTTGCAGTGTTTACCGTTATCTTGCTACTTCGGCGAAACACTTCTCTGTTGCCAATACGGCCGTGGATAGCGTGGTAAACGCCACTTCAATCCTTGCTAGGCGTTCAGAGACCATCTTAAGTAGAAGGACGTAGAGTTAAAAGAGAAAGGAAGATGAAAAATAGGCAGAAAAAGAAAACAACTCGAAATTACCATCTGCCGACGAAACTTGACCTGGAAAATGTCGTAGCGTGACAGCGGCCAATGACGTCATTTGTCTGAACTGCGGCGGAATCTAAATGAATGCACAAAGAGGCAAACAACTTTTTCCCGGCCAGAAAGCGTTTAGTGAAACAATGTAATGTTATTTTTTCACAAGCGATGGTGACTTAAAAAGAAAAAATTCCCGAACTGTCGCACCGTTTTGGCCTCAGCATGATCTGAGCGTTGTGGGACACGAGTCGTCGCTTCTATTGAAAGAAATCTGACCCCATGTTTTTTCTTTTTTTTGGGGGGGGGGGGGGGGGG